CCATAAAGACGTCGAAAAGTCTTCCCAATTGACCTAAACTCTAGTGGAATATTTGCATTTACCTGCTTGTGGGCTTTATAAACTTAGTGCTATGCTTGTTTATCACCTGCCTTATACGTTCATCACCATGGTGAAAAACTTAACGTTGTGGCCGATGCTTTTGCGTGTATGATCTTCGCAAGTGTGTAAAGCAAAGAAAAGCTGAAGGAAGATTATAAGCGCAGTTGTGGCTCCGCTTAGCACTTAATGACCAAGTTACGGGTCCCTATATGGTTTCTAAATGAGGACTACCTGTAAATCAGTTGTATAAAAACAAGGATGGGTATTCATGCATCATCGGCATTAGTTATTTACTGAGCCAAGGTGGCGCAGTAGGTAGAGTGCAGCACTGCAGGCCAATTCAGCTGACTGCTAGTTCAGCAGTTCAAATCTCACCGGCTCAGGGTTGACTCAGCCTTCCATCCTTCCGAGGTGGGTNGGAGGGCCAGGGAGCCCCCACGAACGTCCCCCAAAGCGGAAGGAGGGTCTTAAGCCCCGATTTGCTGCCTTTTTGCTCGGCTAAATTAGAGGGGGGGGGCTCTCTGATGCCAGCTGGAAAGGGAAGGCAGGGCTGCCATCAGGCACGGGGACCCCTGCAGAGAGCTGGAAGCCGGCGTGCCAGGACAAGGGGCAGCCCTGGCATGGCAGAGGAGCAGGGAGGGGCTGCTGGCTCGCAGAAAGGGGGAGCGGCTCTGGAGGACGGCAGGGCACAAGGAGCTGGGGGGCAGCCATCGTGCCCTGTGACCAGCAGGGGTGAGGCGGGTGAAGAGCAGGGCAGCAGCCGCCTCTCCCCTCCTGCCCCCCGGGAGGATTCCTACCTAACAGGCCTCTGACGGAAGCGCTAAGGAATCCGGCTCTTCAGAAGGGAGCAACCACCCTCCTCCTCCTCCGTTGGGGAAGGCAGGGCAAAGAGAGGCCGGAGAGCCCTCGGCAGATGCCGGAAGGCCTGGCAGGTCAGAGCCTCCCCTCCTCTCTCTTGCAACTGGGGAGGGGGCAACGGCTGCCTCTGGCCTCCGTCCCGCCAGCCGAGAGAAATCTGGGCCAGCTTGTCCCGGCAACCGCCTCCCTCGCTGGGCCTCCTCCATGCCGTGAAATGTCACCCAGGAGGTGCCAGTCCCAGAGCAGCAGGGCAGGAGGAGGCGGGCACACCCACCCACACGCCCCGTGTTTTGGTCTGGGCTTTCTGACAGCTCCGACCTGCCGGGAAGGGCAGAGGGAAGGGCACGGCCACATTCCTGGCCGGCTCAGCCTCAGACGCGGCTCTCAAAACCCGCTGCTTTGTGCCCCCCGAGAGCAGATCTTGGCACACGGGGGCAAGCGGAGAAGAGGGGAGAAAGTGGGAGGCTGCAGATTGGCAAGAGGAGCAGCAGTGGGTCGGGAAATTGGCACGGCCACCACCTTCCCAGCCGGCATTCACACAGGAGGCCCCAGCGGAAGGCCCCCAAAGCCCAGGGAGCTGGCAATCACGGCGGCCTCACGAGGGCCCCTTCCCCTCCTCAGGGCAGCTCCCAGCTCAGCCTCTCGCCAGTCCTCCAGGATCCTCCACCACGTGACACACACAGCCCGTGAACCAGGCTTTGCCCAAATTGGCTCTGGGCGAAGGCCAAGACCGGCTCGGGCAAGGTGCCCCAGAGAAGCCCAGATGCCCAGCTCAGGGCAGTCAAGGAGCGGAGAGATGCCGGTGGTGGAGAGAGCCACAAGGGCGGGAGGGCTGCCCCAGATGCAGGGCAGAGGAAGGGGGCAAAGGGTGGCAAGGAGGCAGAGCCTGGGCCCTGGGGGCACCCTCTTCCCTTGCAAGACCCTCAGGCTGGCCACCCAGGTGCCAGGCAGGGAAGGGGAGCTGCAGCAGGCAGGGCACCAGGGAAGGGTATTATGGGATGGGCNCCCTCTTCCTCCTGGCGGCCACCCCCAAGCAGAAGCAGCTGGAGCTGGTGGCGCAGGAGAGCCGCGTCTTTGGCGACATCCTGATGTGGGATTTCGCAGAGTCCCATAGCAACCTGCCCCTCAAGGAGCGCTGCTTCCTCCAGTGGGTGCACGGGCACTGCCAGCAGGCGGCCTTCGTCTTCAAAGGTAAGCTGCCCAGGGCAGAGCGGGCTTCCCTGCCAGGGGCCTCTGCTTTCTGCTTTGCCCAACCGGAAGAGGCCGAGGCATGGCGGCCGACTGCGGTGCTCTCTTCTTGTAGGGGAGGATGACGTTTTCGTGAATCCTGTGGCCCTGACGAAGTTCCTCGGGGAGACGCCCGACGCGTCCCGCTTCATCCACGGCCACATCCGCTACCACCCTGCCGTGAAGAGGATCGGGCGGGACGCCATTCCCTTCCCGCTCTTCCCCCTGGCCCACTACCCCCACTTCGCCTTGGAAAAGGGCTTCCTGGTGCCCGGCGCTGCCCTGCCTGCCCTCTACCAGGCCTCCCTCCGGCTGCCCACCTTCCCTCTCAGCGACGCCTACTGGGGTTTCCTGGCCTTGGCCGCCCAGCTGCCCCATAAGCACAGCGGAGACTTCCGGGCCTGGGAGAAGACGCAGGACCACCTCACCGTCTACCAGAAGTCCCTGCTGGTCTACGGGGTCCCCGTGGAGAGGATGACGGAAGTCTGGCAGGAGCTCAGGGACTCCGCGCGAGACTGGCCCAAGTGAACGCAGGAGCCCAAGCCACGCCGTCCTTCCCCCCGGGACGGAGTTGGTCAACTGGAGCTGGGAAAGACCCCCCATCGGCACTGGCTTCCTCCGTTTCCCAAAGCCCCTTCTCCGTATTCGGTTATTAAAAACGTCTCCCAAGCAGGAGGGTCTGTCTGAAGGCTTGAAGCGTCCAACCTGGGCAACATTTTAAGGCTCGTGGGCTTCAACGCCCACAATCGCCCCGGCCAGCAGTGCCAGAGGGGACGCCAAGATGCCCGTGGGGTCATCACCGCCAATTAATTGATAAAGGGGGGGGGGNCACACACACACGCACAAACACACACACACAGAGCATCTCCTCCCCTCCCCCTTTCCCCACCTTGGCCTTCTTGGCCTCCTCTTTCTTCTCCTCCTTCTCGGTGGAGACTTTCCGCTCCTGCTCCGGCAGCCGGTTCTCCTCCTTCTTCCCTGGCTCAGCCTTCTCCGGACGCTCCTCTTCCTCCTCCTGGTCCAAGACCTTCAGGTCGTGCTCTGTCCCGCCTTCCATCTTGATGACAGCTGGGGAGGCCAAAGCCTTGAATCGGACGGAGGACCCGCAGAGCCGCCAGTCCTCCCTGGGGCCAAGGAGCCCAGCTCTGCCCCGTCCCTCCCCAGGCGTCACCCGCCACGGAGGACCCCAGCCACTTTCCCAACGTGCAGGATGGCCCTTCAAGGGCGAGAGAACCGCAAACAAGGGGGCTGCTGTGGCTGCCTCCTCCGGGGCTTCAAGCCACCCAGTGACGGGCACAGGCCCGCTGCCTCTGGGCACCTACCGGCGTCCAGGACCTTGATGATGGCATTGGCCTTGTCGATGTCCAGCTGCAGGCCTTCAAACCAGCCGTTGTCCATCAGGTAGAGGAAGACACTGAGACGGTTCTGGAGAGCATTCTGGGCCTCCTGCTTCCTCCGTCCTGCTTCTTCTGGGTGGTACTTGGACCGGAACCTGAACGGGGTCCAAGCGAGGAGGGAAGGGAGCGGAAAGAGACAGAGAAGAAGGCAGAGGGAGACACGCCTTAGCCGGAGGGGAACGGAGCGCGCTGCCCCTCGGGCACCGTCCACACATGCAAAGCTGGGGAAGGAAGTGGCAGGGAGAAGAAGGGGGCCTTGTGGGGGACGGACGGACGGATGGGGGGGGGACCTGAAGACCTTAAAAGAACCAGCCAGAGGCGGGCTGTATACTGGACACTCAAAAATCCTGGTTAACAGCAGCCCAGCTGTTTTGCGCAGATCTTGGGGGGCTCTCCTGCCAACGGAGGGCAGCCGGGATGCCACCTCCTCCTCCTCCTGAACCTTCAACGCGGCTCCCTTGCTGCCTCTCCTAATCAGCTCAGGGGCTCCACCTGGGCGCCTACCAGGTGCTTGAGAATGCCAATGCCCATCGTCCCCACCCTATACCTGGCATCTGGGGAGGTGGGGGAAGATGAGCGAGGGCGTTTCCCGTCATATGGGGGGGGCAAAGGCAGACTTTTGAGGGAGGGGCAAGGAAGTGCATCGCACCCCATCCCTGGCCCCACAAAACATCCCTCCGTTCCCCTCTGGATTTCAGCCCCCCCTTAGGACACCTCCACGGAGCCGCTGCTATGTGGCATCCGCCTAGAGCAAGGGGGCTGCCACTCCACATCGTCAAGACCTTTGGACTTCAACTCCCAGAATCCCCCATTCCGGGAGTCGAGGCCCAAAGGCCTTTAAGTTGCCAAGGGCTTCTAAATGCTTGCTTGGACCCCCCACTCCCAGCCCTGGTCTTGCCCCCCCCAGACACGGCCCACCCTCCTGAAGCCTGCCCCTCGGGGCTCCCCCAGAAGGATCAGCAGAACCTTCCTGGCGCGCCTTGGTCAGAGAGCCGGCGCCTTGTGTGTGGGGGAGCTTGGGCTGGGGATAGGCCCTCTGCTAGCCCCCCGGGCGTGGAGGCGCCGGTGGGAGGGCTGTGAAAGCAGCAGGCAAGTGGCGGGGGGGACACAGGAATTGAACGGGAGGGACGGAGCCAAAGCTTTCTACATAAGGTGACCAGGCCGGCCGGACACGAGCCCTTAGAAATGTTAAGTTTCCTTTCTCTCAGCTCTGATTTTTAAGAAGACAGAACACGTCATACATACACGGAGGGAGCCACACTGCGAGCCTTCCAAGGCGAAGAGAGTTTTCTTCGGCGGGTTTTAAGAAAAACCGCCCGGATTTAGGAACAATGGAATCTCTCTCTCTCTCTCTCTCTCTCNTGGATGAGCCCACGAGGTGAGGGGCCCGCAGAGCGCAGCACCTCTGAGGAACCGTCCCTTCCTTCTGCCGCCCGGGAGAGGAACTACCCCACGTACCTCCATATCCCAGGATGGGCGGGCGTGGCTGTCCATAGGGCATCAGTCCCTGGGGGGCCTGCGGTGGGTAGGGCAACCCGGGTGCCAGGCCTGAGGAGGGCAAAGGAGGGCGTTTGACTCTTGACAGGGGAGTGCTGGCAAAGCCGTGGGGACGGAGGAGCCAGCTGGGTGTTTCCTCGGCCGCCTCCACGTGTGGTGAGAGAGCGGCTGGGGGGGGTCTCGCCCTCTCCCAGAACTCCTTCCCCCCCCACCCCCGACTCACCCTGCCCGGGGACGGGTGGCTGGTTCAGCTTGAACTCGGGCAGTGCCGGCCGCTTGGCGTCCATCAGGAAGTTGTTGAAGAAGGAGACCTCCTTCTTCACCTCCTCAATCTTCTCCGCGTGCTTGTTGAAGATGTGCTTGCGCACAAACTCCGGGCCCTGGAGGGAGCGGGAGAAGGAGAGGGTGTCAGGAGAGCCCGGGTGGGAGGGGGAGTCTGACAAGGGGGGGGCCGGTGGCTAGGGGAGGGGGGGGGGCTTGGTCACCTTGAACTTCTTCCCGCTGAGCGGGCACTGCCACTTGTCCTTGCCCAGCTCCAGGGTGTTGGAGGTGACGAAGTTCTCCACTTCCTGCTCGGGGTCCTTCTTGCCCATCTTGAGGGCTTCCTCCTCCGACAGGGACTCCCGGATGCTGAAGAGCGGCATCAGCTTCTCCTCAAAGGTCTTCTGCCACTCGGCCACTGGAAGGGCAAGGAGTCCGTCCCTTCGGGGCCCCACCTTCCTCGACACCCCCAAAGCCCCCCCACCCTGGCACAGCCCACGGGGCAGAGGGGGCTCCTCCAGAGGCAGGATGGGAACACGACACCCCTGGCGGCTTCTGTCTTCCCCTCCCCGCCCCGTTGGCCCAGAGCGAGGCAGGGACAGTCCTCGACCTACATCTCTTCCCTTAGTGACCGCTCCAAGCTACCAAAAAGTGACCTACGGCCGTTTTTCACACTTACGACCCCTGCGGCCTTCCCCACGGTCACCTGACCAAAATGGGGACCCTTGGCAACCTGTTCATATTTACGACGGTCGCGGTGTCCCGGAGTCACGTGATCTGCTTTGACGTCAACGGGGAAGGCAGCCGCACTTAACAATCTAAGAACCGCCGCGATTCACTTATCAACCGTGGCAAGAAAGGCCCTCAAACGGGGCAAAACTCACTTAGCGACGGCCTCGCTCAGCAATGGAAATTTGGGGCTCCGTTGCGGGTCATCAGTCCTTGACCTACAGCCATCTGTTCAGCGACCATTCGGGGTCACGACAGCGCTGAGGAGAGGGGCCTCCTGCCGTCCTTGCGACTCCTGGGGCCTCTCCAGGCGCAGGAGGGGAACCCAAGCACTGGCCGTCCGGCAGGCCTTGACCTCGGTTGCCGCATCCCCGGGGGTCAAGGGGCCGCCGTTCCCAACAAGCCAAGTCAATGCGGGTGGGGGGGTTGCCCGATTCGCTTACTGACTGAAGCTGCGAAATCAGGTGCGGCTCCCTTCACAACTGCCCTGCTTAGCCCCAGAAACGCTGGTTTCAGCATCGGTCGTAAGTCGAGACACCCCCTCCCCGCCCCCCCGTGCTTCCTTCAACGAAAGAGGAGGGCAGGGAATGTGGCGGGCGGCGGACAGGCCCCGTACCTTCACGGTGGGTGACGCGGTTGGGGGGAATGGGCCCCCGCACGTGGATAATCCCACACCGGTTGGGCATCTCGTCCTCGTTGAGGTACTCGGAGGTGTTGTAGTAGTCGACCGAGTGGACGATGCGCAGGTAGAGTAGCAGCTTGTCCAGGACCTGCGTGGCACAAATGGGGAGAGGCTCAGCCCGCCTGGTACCCCTGGTGGTGGGGGTGGGTGGGGAGGCACCTCGGGACCCGCCCCCCCGGACGCAGGGCTCACCTTCACCAGCTTCTCATCCCTCTCCACCGTGATTTCGGCCGGGTTTCCCTCCTTGGGAGTCTCTTCCGAGGGCTCCCCGCTTCGGCCCAGCAGCTCCTCCTCTTCCGCGCTGACCTCCTCGATCAGGTAGTCCGTGATGTTCTTCAGGATGGGGTTCTGGGAGGGCAGGTTCTGGGAGAGGGGGGGATGCGAGGTGAGGGGCAGCCCCACACTCGCCCGCACCTCTGCCTGGCTGCCACCGCGGCCCCCTCCCCTGGCCAGAGTCACCGGCATTACGCAGGGGGTTCTCGGCTAAGAACCGTCCGTTGGGTGACTGTTTCAAGTTACAAAGGCGCTAGAAAAGGTGACCAATGACCACTTCTTCACACTTATAACGTCCCTGGGGTCATGGGACCCAAATCTGGACACTCGCTTGGCAACCGGTTCATATTTATGACCGTCGCAGCGTCCCTGGGGCCAAGGGGTGGCCGGATTCACTGAACAACCGTGCGACTACCCGCTCGCTTGACGACGGCGGCAAAGAAAGCTCGTAAAAACCGCAGCGCCCTTCCCCGAGACTCACCGACACTTCGGAGGGCAGCTGGGCCTCGCCGGCCCCCCACAGCTGGGTCCGGTCGTCCATGGCGTGGATGAGCTTGGCCGCCAGCTTGATGTCGTTGCGCAAGATCTGCTTGTGCTGCGTCATCCCGTTGATGTTGCGCACGCGGCGAGTCAGGTCCCGATTGACGCCGGGGCTCAGCTCACAGTCGCGTAACTGGAGGGGGGGGGGGAAGGCAGGTGAGGCAGCCGGCATTCTCCCCACACCCACGCGGGAGGCCTTGCCGCCCCCCGCCCTGCCCACCAGATAAGTGAGTGACTCTGAAGGGCCCCCCTCCTCTCCGTCCCCCCCTCCTCTACTTTACCCGAATATTCTGGAGATTCCAACAGATTTCCTTGATGTTGACGGTGCGGTCGAAGGTCACCCAGCCTCTCCGGAAGAACCTGGGGAGGGGAGAAGGGCCGGTCGGAGGCTCTGCTGGGTGCCCAGCAGGCAGAGGGCCAAAAGCCAACCCCACCCCTCTCGTTTGCAAGGGGCCACAGGGCCCCTCCCCTGCCAGGACAGCACCGCAGCTCCAGAAAGAGGGGGCCTCTGGGGGTGCCGTTTGGTGAGGGAAGGGCACTGCGGACCCCGGCCCTGGCAGGAATCCAGGCCTCTCTGCCCCTGGCGCTTCCGGGTTTTAGGAAAGGACCAAGAGAGAAAATATTTCCCTTCCTTCCTTCCTGTTTCTCTCTTCCTCCTTTCTTTCCTTCCTACCTTTTCCTCCCTTCCTTATTATTTTCTTTCTTTTCTTTCCTTCCTTTCTGTTTCTCTTCCTTTTTCTTTCCTTCCTTCCTTCCTTCCTCCTTTCCCTCCCTTCCCATTATTCTCTTCCTTTCTTTCCTTCCTTTCTCTTTTCCTTCTTTCTTTTCTTCCTTCCTACCTTTCCCTCCCTCCCTATTATTCTCTTCCTTTCTTTCCTTCCTTCCTCTTTTCTCTTCCTTCCTTCTTTTCCTTTCCTTTCTTTCTTTCCTTCTTACCTTTCTCTCTCTCCATTATTCTCTTCCTTCCTTTCCCTCCTTTCTCTTTTCCTTCTTTCTTTTCTTCCTTCCTACCTTTCCCTCCCTCCCTCCATTATTCTCTTCCTTTCTTTCCTTCCTTCCTCTTTTCTCTTCCTTCCTTTTCCTTTCCTTTCTTTCTTTCCTTCTTACCTTTCCCTCCCTTCCTATTATTCTCTTTTCTTTCCTTCCTTCCTTTTTCTCTTCCTTCCTTCCTTTTCCTCCTTTCTTTCCTTCTTATCTTTCCCTCTCCCTTCTCATTATTCTTTCTTTCTTTCCTTCCTTCCTTCCTCTTTCTCTTTTCCTCCTTTCTTTCCTTTCCTTTCCCTCTCTCCCTCCCCATTATTCTCTTCTTTCTTTTCTTCCTTCGTTCTTTTCCCTCCCTCCCATAAAATTAACTGGCTCCCCATTTGACTCGGGGCAGCTCTGGGTGGCTTACAATCCTTATTTCACCCCTGTTGTGAGCCTTCCTCACCTGGGGGGGCAAGGGGGGGTGTCTTTTCTAAAACAAGGGGAAAGAGCTGCCACTGAGGACACCGCACCTCCTCCCACCAGGCCCTGTGTGTGTGTGTGTGTGTGTCACTGCTTCAATAAAGCTCACCCCAAACTTAAAAATCAGGGTGGGGTGGGGGTGTACCGCTGACCCTTACCTCCGTTCCGGCTGAGGGTCCGAAAGCGCCACTCTCATGAAGCCGGNATAGATAGATAGATAGATAGATAGATAGATAGATAGATAGATAGATAGATAGATAGATAGATAGATAGATGATATAAGATAGATACATGATAAATATAGATGATGGTGATAGCTACATTAGATACACAGACAGATAAATTATATAGATACATGATAGTTAAATATAGATAAATGATATACACAATAGATTGATAGATGATAGAGAGATAAATAAGATAGATACATGATAGATAAATAGACAGATAGATGAGAGGGAGGGAGGGAGGGAAGAGCAGGGCCCCAAGAACCAGCTTACCTGGCTTGGATGGGGAGGATGTGGTGCTGGGTCACATGCATTTCCGGGTGTGCCCAAGGCTGGGGAGGCCCGTAGGAGGGGCCCGTGGAGACCCCGCTGTAAGGCATCTCATAGCCAGAGTGGTAGGGATCTGCTGTGTGCTCATCCCTGCGGAAGGAAGGAAGGGAGGAGATCCTTTCACACGGGCTCAGAAGGGGCCTCCCTCCCGCGAGGGAGGGGCCTGCAGCTAAACCCCCAGAGCAGGAGGCTCAGCTCCCCGTGGGGGGGGGGGGGAGAGAGACCCCACGCCCGCCTGGCACAAATTCTTCCTTATCGTAGGGCACATCCACATCGCATTTCAGGAAAATGGAACACGGGAACACAGAATATAAAACCTGAAATCTTAACAGGAAGATTACGCTTCAGTTGCAAATATTATTTTTTACTCCATTTGTCGCAGTCAGGAAACCAGGAAAATCTCTATTACAGGCTCTGCCTTGAGGCTCTCCCGCATGTTGGATCGCTCGTTTTTCGGCCCCACGGTCACAATCAGGGTGACGGTGTTTGGCCCCACTTGTTGAGGGCGCCTGGGCCTCCGTCGTGGTATTTGGCCTAGTGCAAAAACAGCCCCGTAGAAGACGCGGCAAGAAAACCCACCAATCCCGTCTCATGCGCTTCTGTGGCGGGCTCAGCTCGTGACGCGGGGGGGAGAAGCGTTCCCGCCTGCTCCGGTCGTAATCCCGGTATTCCCCTCTGCTCCGGCGCTCCCGGCCTCGGTCCCATTCCCTAGCGGAAGGAAAGAGGGTCATCAGCATTTGCATCCTGCATTCCTGGCAGCAGGACGCATACAGAAGCCTCACAACCGTAAACACGACAGGAAAAGACCCCCCCACCACCCCCCCGGCAACTTCAGGAACCAAATGCCTGGCGTAAGACAATGGTTTAGCCCCTGCTGGCAGGACAAAGAACCTTTCCTTCCACACCCACGGGTAGAAGAAGCCGCAACGGATTTCGGGCAGGCCTCTTTGCTAGCAAACCCTGCATATATTTCTATCTGCCGTACTTTTCGGAGTATAAGATGCACCTTCTCCCCAAAAGAGGGTGAGAATTTGGGTGCGTCTTATATACCGAATGTAGCTCAGCTCACCCACCGTCCTCACCACCTTCGGCCTCTGCCTCCCAGGTATTTACCTCCTTGCAGCAAACGGGGAAAATGGGGCTTGCAGAGGCTGCAATAGGCTATGGCAGTGATGGCGAACCTTTTCGGCACCGAGTGCAAAAAATCGGAATGCGTGTGCGTGGGCACACACGCCTGTTCCTTGGCCATTTGGGGGTCTGTTTTCAGGCTGTTTTGGGGTGCAAAACAGCCCTTAAAACAGCCTATTTCTTTTGGCCATTTTTGGGTGCCCCAGCACCCACGAAGACCAGCTGGAAACCATGCGCACCAGAAACCAGAAGAGCAGCNTCCCCCCCCCCGCTCACCTTTGTCCTCCCCTTGGGGGCGCCCGCTCTCGGAATCGCTGTCGGACTCCGAAACGCTCCCCTCGTCGTAGCTGTCGTTCCCGCTGCGCTTCCGCTTGTGCTTGTGGGTGGTCTGGGAAAGAGAAGGCAGGAAGAGGGTCCCACACGCTTCCTGGGGGCCAAAGACCTTCCCCCCCCTCCCCACTGTCTCATTGGCCTGGAACTCTGGGGAGGGAGGGAGAGGGAAGGGCTGTATGTGTCCCCACAGTCCTATTACTCCCCCCACCCCAAAAGAGCTGGAAATTAGGAAGCCTCCAGGTGTTCCCCAGCTGGCTGAAGCCCCCCCTCTTCACTTCAGATGGGGGGGTTCCTCCTGGGACACACCAGGTTATTTCTCTCCCCCCACCCTCAAGATGTCACCCCGTTTGGCTGCCCTCCCTCTTCCTGTGTCCACACACGGGTTGACCTGATGGCGATCTGGTGGGGGCGGAGGGCCCCCTCCCTCGTCACCCACCTTCTTTGCCTCCTTCTCGGGCTCCTCTTTCTTCTCCCCCCTTTTCTCCTCTTCCTCCTTCTTGCCTTTTTCCTCCGCCGCTTCCTCCTCGGCAGTCTGCGAAAAGAGGCCTGGTCAGTCAGAGCCCGGCCTGCTCCTCAGTCGGGGCGGGCGGTAGGAGGCCTCGGCTCCGTTAAAATATTCATGACCGGGAGAGACATGGGAACAAGGTCAGCCAATGAACGGGCACAGCAACTAAGCCAGCCAAAGGGAGCTTAAAACGGATCAGAGTCTGTGCAGGGAATTGAAACCGAAACTTAAGGAGTCCGCTGCTCTGAGAAGTAAACTAGCAGCCTGCCTGGGCTCGTCTGCTGAGCGGAAGCTAATTGCTTGTGTTTGCCTGTAGCTCTCCCGCCTTGTGTTTCCTTGGAAGAATCACCTGTTGGTATTGTACATTTATCCATCTATTTTTCTATATATAAAAGAAGTTAATGAATCCGGCTGCCTCAGTTTTATCTGTCTCTGCTTTCTGGATTTGAATTGATGCAACAATCTCTCTCTCTCTTTCTCACACACACACACACACA